TGAACTGTTCATCAACCTTTGCATTCAACTTGCCCTCTTCATCCTCTTTGGCTCAGCCGCAAGTTTTCTTTTGACATTTCTTGCACTTTCTCTGTGTCAGGGAGAGCTGTGATTGCAGGGCTACCTTCGAGGAGTTGCGACTGAAAGGCCATCCACAAGCCGAAGTCCAGGTTTCGATGGGTATATCCCAACTGGCGCCTTCGACTTCGTGCCACACTCTCTCGCGTGAGTTGTAGGCTGTTGATGACACCCACAACCTCTTTGGTAGCTCTGTCACCACCAGCTCTTTGCCCGGGCACTGGCTGACCTCTTCCTTCGGCATGTCCCCGACCGCACCAGCCATCTTTTCAGTGTCCACTTCTTGCGTCTTTTCTTTCAACTTCACCACAGAGGACTTCCACCTCCCCAAGAAATAGCTATTTCCTGGGTCGGCATCCCCAGTCTGACGTAGTTCATGGCCCCTGATCTACGTGCGGAGTGTCCTTGTATCCCTTCGCCGGTCACCAATGTCCATCCTTCTACCATCTTGGCTTTGGAGAGCTTCTTGTTCTCAGAGTCCTGGAAGATGTAATCCTGAGGGCTTCTGTCTTTGCCTTTGTACGCCTTCCATATCTCTGTCCAAAGCTTCCAACAGCACCATCTCTGGCAGGTCCGGCGCATGCAACACGGCAAAGTTCTTCTCACACCTCAGCCCTGTTGGTCGCACTTCAAGAGGGGGATGAAGATGCTGACTCTCTTACAGGTCTCATTGGTCGACACGTCCCTCCATCTCATGCCGCTCACTTCGATCTCTCTCAGCGTCCACACTGCCCATTGGCATCCATGCGTATGACAGTGCTGGTCTTGCAGTCCGCCTAGGGCCATAGCAGCACAACATCCATTTCAGCGGGTCTATGTCCTTCAGCTCGAACTCCGGCGCTCTCTTCACAGGGCCTCTGTTCCTTCTTAAAGACCTCTTGCAATCCGTGATGAGCTTGTTCATCTGCAAGTTCACCTCGTACCCTGCTTCCACATGCATCAGCTTGAGCTCATTGAGATATTGATCTCCTGAGGTCCAACCATGGCTGCTGCAACCTCCTCAATGGTGCTTAAGGACAGCGGGAACACTCGTGCGGCTGCTCCCACACTCGCTTTTGCCATTGCCATGATCTGCTCCCTCTTGGACTTCTGTGCTGCCTTGGAAGTTTTGACCAAGAAGTCCCCTCTAAGGGCCTCTTTGGCCTGTTTCAGCTTTTCCTTGCCCTGCAGGATGTCCATGACCGCTTCAAAGGAGCGTTTCGGTCTCGTCCTCTGTGCCTGCTCCGTTTCCAGGGGTCCACTTGGCGTCCGATCACGTTCAACCTCCTCACTCCGAAAGACCTGCCTCCTCATTGGTGCATATCGTGAAGGCCTGCACCACGGGGTGAGCCCTTTGTACCATTGCCTCCAACAAGTGGCCCTGAGCAGCTCTGGCTTCTGGAGACTCTATCAAAGCTTTTGAGGACAGGCGCTTCTCTCCGGATTTCTCGTCGCCCAATGTTGGCCTTGACGACCTCCTAAAGGTGATGCATCCCTGCGTGCCTCGTCCCTTTCTGCCTTGACCTTTTCCCATGCTGCCTGCTCGCGATTGTCCTCTGCGTCTGACACCCTTACTGGCTTCCGCGGAGACGTCCTTCGGCTTGTGCAACACCAGTGGCCCAGCGTCCAGAGCCACCGCAGCGTTGACCAAAGGAAGAAAATCCTCCAGGGCCACTGCAAGCTGCGGAGCGTTCTCCATTGAGCCCAGGCTACCCGCGTTGGAGTCCAATGCATCCTCACGGTCCCGGTTCGACAGTCCGTCCAATCCCCAACTCCTCGGTGCAGGTTTTCCTCATCGTCTCAAGGTCCAAAAGGCGTCCTGCGAAGCGACCTGGTTTGAACCACCTGACACGTTCGTCACCTTGGTATGAACAGGTGTTGTAGTCAGCTACCTGACACTCGAATGCATCTAAAAATGCCTTGATCTCTGGGAGCTCCCACGCAGGTCCTTCTTCACGGGCGCTGCTCCCTGGGGGGTTTTCCAAGGTCCCAGCCTGCGGCACTCTCCTCTTCCTCTGGCTCTTCAGGATGGCCCCGATGACTTCGACCGATGTCGAAGCTAGCAACGTTCCCACGTCGGCGATCTGCTGCTCCTCCACCAAGTTGGACGGAAGACCATAGATGTGCTGCAAGGATCTGACGGGCGGTG